TTGTGGAGCGCTTGTTATGTAAGGCAATTTTCTGCCTTCTTAAGAGCCGGATCTCCTGTGCATTAATAAGAGGCTAGGCTGAGCTGCTGGAGAGCTGAGGGCCTGTTCATGCTCTAAACCACACAGCCAAAACTAGCAGCACTGCCATTTAAACACACAGTCTGGCACCACATGCCATTTATACATATTTAAAAGTTTTATTAGAAACAATGTGATTTTAAAACAGGTGTTTTCATGGATAATAGTGTGGTGATGGCGCATAGATAAGATGCTTGCCTTTGGTGTGGGAGACCTGGGTTCAATTCCCACTGTGAGACATCCACCATTGTGTCCCTGAGCAAGACACTTAATCCCTAGTTGCTCCAGAGGCGTGCGACCTCTGACATGTCTAGCAATTGTAAGTCGCTTTGGATAAAAGCGTCAGCTAAATAAGTAAATGTAATAGTTAGAATGCTTTAGGGTATTCAGAGTTTTTGCATCTTCACCTAAAGATGAATGTTAAATCGAAGAATATGACTTTACCAGAGCAGAAGCCAAGATTCAGGAAATACTGAGCTCATGAATCCAGATTCACCCAGCACCCTAAGGTATGTTCCACTTTGTCCCACATTTATTCACTCACCTTTATTTACCCAATTAATTATGTTTTCTGACAAATTCTCTCCAAACATGAGGCTTGGACAAATACTAAATCCATATATTTAATGTGTATTTTCCCCCCAAATGAAAAGAAAGGTAACAATTCTGAAAAATATCAGATTAAGGAGAACATGACCTTAGTGCTCTCATTATTTTGTATGGCCCAGTGCTATAAAATAATTACTTTTACTTTCATAAGGACTCATAATTCAATTGTAAAAATTGTACTACCATGTAAAAATGTCAGGACTACAAAAAACATTGATATGCACATTGTGGCTAACTGCAAGAAATCAGTTGCAAAACATTTGTAAAATATTTCAATTATTAAACCTTGAGATCATTCTCCAAACCACAGTTGAGTTATGAGACATACGACAGATAATGGACACTTTCCTCAACTTGAGTGTTGCCAGTTTCATCGACAAGCCACAGTATGAGCCACTGGGTCTACATATGAGCATGTCATTTTAATTTTGATTTAATATCCCGTGGAATGATGGCGGGCCGTTCCGCTAAATTGAATAGACGTGGGGCTGATCTGGAAAATCAATTAATCGATGTGCAAGGCTCATTTAATACACATGTTAATATAATGGGAGAGACGTCCACCGCCCATAAAAAAAGAGACATTTGGAGCAAATTGGACAGTGGTGATTTTAACAGCAGTTGACATAAGTAAAAGTGCACTGCAGCGGAAAACAGTGACATGAGTGTCTGAAGGGGCCTCAGCTGGAGACAAAAGCAGCAGAGATGGGCCCAAGATTTGAGGAGGGTGGTGGATCGAATGGGAGGAGGAGGAAGAGGAGGAGGAGTAGGAAGGGGGGAGAACGACAAGGAGGTGAGGAGAGATAGAGAGTGCAGACAGCCAGGCCTCTGAAAGGCCATTGTGGTTGGCAGTCGCTGACCTTGGTGACGATGGGTTTTCACCAGAGGCTTCTAATGAAGGCTGATTGCCAGGGAATAGTGAGGGAGCCAAGGGGTAGAGAAAGGAGCGGGAGGGGGGCAAGAGAGAGTGAGAAGAGGGAAGAGAGAGAGAGAGAAGAGGGAAGAGAGAGAGCGAGGGAGCGAGGGAGAGAGAGAGAGAGAGAGAAGGATAGAGGAGAGGCTCAGGTAATTGCAGCACTTGTGGGTCTGAGGCCCCGCGGTTCTGTGATGTCGGGGTGCAGTGGGGAAGAAGAGAGATGTCTGTGGACGCTTTGGTGGTAAATTGTGGAGCACAGGGATAGGAGGCAGGCCCCTAGGCTGTAATTACCCCTATGAGTGTGGGGATGGAGAGTGGACAGGCCCAGTGAGGGGCTCTGACAGCGATCAAGGAGACGACTGCGAAGGGGAGTAGAGACAGACACACAGACAGACGGCAGGAGTCTGGCGGTGGAGGAAGACAAGATGCCTCCATCACCGCCAGGCCCCCTGAAAACCAGCCAGCCAGCCAGACACTGGACCAAGGTCAGAGGCTATTAGCTAACACATAACATGCTGGTGACAAGACAGCCATGACGAGAACAGCAGAGAGACAGCGCAGCGTTGCTGAAGAAGCAGCACCCAGATGGAGACAGACATAATGTAGAAGAAAAAAAAAAGGTATTAAAAAGCGACTAATTAGATCAGAGCCATAGCGAGAGAGAGCGAGAGAGAGATGTTGGGGCTCCACTGGATGGCGCAGCTGGGTCAGGAAGGTCGGGGGCATACGAACTGGAATAAGAGAGTTGATAGGCTGGCCTAAGCTTCCCGCTGCCACGGATCAGTATGTACTGCCTCTCCTCTCCCTGCCTGGGCTGATGTAACTCACTGGAGTGGCAAATTACACCAGACCTACAGCTGTAGCCCGACATTATGATTAATTTGATCAGTAATTTCTCCTGTTTTTCATTTTAATCGCCGCGACCATTCTGCTGTGGCAGGTCTTTCAGATCTAATTAAGATCAATTCCGGTGTAACAGACTTGGCGAGCGCCTTTACCCCGTCAAATCCCTGAGCTCTCCGGGCGTGGAGAAAACCCGCAGCTCTAATCAATCAACTTCCAGCAAAATCCAGCGGGCTCCCGCAATCAGCCCATTAACACACTTAAGCAAATTTTATAATCTCCCCCCGTCTATTTGTCATCCCTGTCGTGGTTATTTCAGGCAGCCACAGGCCGCATCTCACTGTACTCTGCATGTTGGAGAGCAGAGAGGGATGTGGGCGGGGTAGAAAGGTAAATTCTTACTCCATTTAACCCCATTAGCTGCAATAATCTGAGTTTAGACCATCGACTCAAGGGGACACAGTCTGTTGTGGTGTGATTTGTATTCTAATAGGGATATTAATGAGCCCATTAATGAATTTTGTCTCACAAATGAAAAACACCAAACACTAAAAACACTAGGGATGTAATGAATGCTCAGGATTTCCTCACTATGGGTTTATGGAGAATATCACACACCTCCCATGAGAAGAGAATTACAATGGGATATTAATTGGAACATAATGAGTGTTTGTCTCTCTGCAGCTCTGCACTGTATTTTCAGCAAATAGTTGAATGGCTGGGTGATTCTGCGCGTCTCAATAATGACAGCAGGAAATAGGGGTGTTATCTGTGTAATGCTGATTGTATTATGGTAATTATGACTCGACTTTACTGCACAGACTAGTTCCTCTGGGTGCAGCGAGCAAACACCAGAAATGCCCTTCTGCATCTTCAATTTAAAAGACAAAAAAAGCTGATCACTGTGTCAATTCATATGTCTTTATGAGAAAGTCTCTGCTCAGGGAGCCCTGATTTAAAAACTTGTGTGAATTAACCCGTGAGTTGCTCAGTGAATCTGGGACTGGAAATCCAATCACCGACCCAGGCAGTGCACGGAGGTGGAGCTGCTGTTTAAATCCTATTGCAGCCTTGAGTGTGTGCTAAGGCTGTGGCCTGTCCTTGGCGAGCCTCTCTCTGGGTGACATACTCTTTGAAAACACCAGCACTGACCCAGAGAAACTAAACCTTTTACGGCCATTCTGCTTCTCCCACACACACAAAAACACACGCCCACACACATGTTCCATAATCCTATTTGATAAGGCAATATCTTAATGATACCTGATGGGGCCCCTTTGGCCCCTCTCAAGGGAGGTCTGTCCTCAGTCATCATAATCAGCCCCGCTCCTTCTTTTAGAAAACGACCATCTATATAAAGCTAAGGGTCTCAGTCTTGCAGTCAATGCAGTGAGCTAGTTCTAAAATAACCCTGCTTCTGCTGTCTTTATGTGTCAGAGAGAAATTCACAGATTCCAAGAAATCTACCATTTTCCAGATACTTATAAGTTGTAATGTTTCTGTTATCTAAGTTATTTGTGCGTCTGATGCAAGCTTACTGTGGGAATCTGTATGTTGGTCAGTTGCCCTTGTATTCACAGTCAGACTGGACAGTGTGTTTGGTGCGATGTAGCGGCTAGCCTTTGGAGCCCATTAAATCCAGAGGCTGTTTTTCCTGCTGAGTCTCACTAGGCCGTGACAGGGCCGGAGAGGGCTGCAAGGGGGGAAACAAATAGCCTAACTCATCCTGGCCATAAAGAAGGTTGCACCACAACCCAATAAGGGTCTGACGCTGATGAATGTGACCAGGGACAGAAAGGCGACCCTGGCCAGTCTCCACCAGAAATGAAACCACAGGGATATAAACTAGGTTATTATCGTCACACAGTGACAGCCAGACGGACAGAAGGGCAGAGATGGATGGACAGACAAAGTGACTAAAAAGGAGGTTGAGTAGGAAGAGCAGCAAAGATTAAGGGGCTGATTACGGCCAGAAAACCCAAGGTTAGATAACCTCAGAATCCCTCTTGAATCTGCCGCAGGAGGATGTGAATCGTGCCTCTTGCCTGGTTGTGAGGCCTGATGTGCTCAAGTGCGTCAAGGCTTCAGCAACAAGATGCATATTCTAATAGCTCTACATAGACAGAAGAGCTGCCAGCATCCATTCAAATACTGCCACTTGATAAAGATCAAGTGCTGACAGAGAATCAAGCCTTGTGTGTACTTCTTAAGCACAGTGTTTTCAAGGTTGACCTGCCCAAAATCATCAATGACACCATTTAGATGCTCATTCTTTCTAGTGTTGAGGTCATTAACAAGTGAATTTGCAAAAAGTAATGCTGAGTCTTACATACTGGATCAGTATTGCTGTAGATACTGGTGGACAGACTGGTTAGTAAGTAACCAATCCGCATGCTTTGTCTTGGTCATTTTTCATTATAAAAAGAAAAACACATAGTCAACATTTGTACAAAGAGTAAAAAGAGAACTGGTATCAGATCAGCATGACTCTAATTGAGTTTAGGTATCAGAATCTGTTTTAAAAAGACAAAAAGTTGGGTCGGTGCAGACTTACTGGCAAAGGCATGGGTGGGGTGACGGGCGAAGGAAGGCTGCGGGCTGGCGACTGGTTGGGCCGGTGGGGCGGAGACTGCTGTGGCTGTCCAGAGGTGGAGGAGCAGGTAGAGCCTGGAGATGGGACCGAGGTATGCTGCTGGCTGGGCGGGGTCATGTGATGCTGAGATGGCAGCTGGTTCTGGGTGTTGGGGTGGGTCTGTTGGTGATGGTGTTGCTGCTGCTGCTGCTGCTGCTGCTGTTGCTGCTGCTGGTGGTGGTGCTGCTGCATCTGTTGGAGCTGCTGCAGGTGTTGGAGCTGGGAGTTCAGTGATGAGGTAGCTGTTGATGAAAGGACAGCAAGTTGTTTGATTTCTCTTTGTGCGTGAGACCTGAACACTTTACAAAAGGTGCAACAAACACAAATGGATTTGGACTGACAACATTTGTTTTAGCACATAAACAAGAAGCCCTCATTATCTGAAGAATATGCTCACACCTCAGATAGAAATACATGTACACAATATGAGGTGTGGGATGCATAGGGTCAATAGTGAGAGACATGTAAATAGCATGGAGCCTCAACAAGGTCCTCCAGGGTTTTTCAGTCAGTGAATTTAATTTAGCTAGTTGGAGGACAAAGCTATCAAGCCTGGCTGATATAATTGCTTTCTCTGGAGCCAAAAGTCTTCATTGTCACTTGAAGAATGTCAGAATCTTTGGTTTAATGGCTGAAAATCTCATAGGAAAGAGACATCCATCATCAGTGGAAGACTTTAGAAATAAATCCATTACCTAATTGGATCCAATAATGGCATGCCATTAGAACCTCATTTCTACATTTAAATGCTTATACATTTTTATGCAGTTTAAAAAAAATGGCTAGCACAGGCTGAGCCAGGCTACAACCACACCAGCATGCAAAATACTCCCATACTCCTCAAATATAATATAAAATAATATGTTGGTGTGGACACTCAACCTCATTGTAATTTTCTCAGCAGTTGACTCAAAATCATCTGAATACAGAATATACCAGATCTTCTATCAGTTCACACATACACACACACATCGTGTTTGAATGTCAGAAGAAATCCATACCACAACCTAGACAACAAATAATGTGTACTAAAGGTGTAAACTGTAATACTATACGTGGAGAACTGAGATAAAACACATCAACTAAGCTGACCTTCAAGCTCTTTAAATGGAAAAAGGACAAACTGAGTTTCCATACAGATATAACAGAGAGAAAAGTGTTCACTGTGCTCACATTCAGGAAGCCCTTTTTTCAGTCAAATGCCAGAAAATCCTTAAAAGAAACTATATGCTACATAGTCGTTTGTGTGAAGTAATTTGATTAGGTTATTCACAGGTCTCGCTAAATTCAAAAGGCATAAAATAAACACACACCAATGATTTTAAACTTTAAAATATATCATTCCTACAATGACTTCTACAGCCACAGACAGTTAATCAGTTTGAAATATTGTGAGACTTGTGATGTTACACAGCTTTGTATAGAAAACAAAAGAATACGAAACAAAATGAATACAACAGATGAACATCCAGGATCCCACATGATTTTTTTTTATATAAAGGTAACACAAGCTTGGAGGGGTCAAGACCTGATCTGTATGTTGACACTGGACTGCACTATAGAAAGAAATTGAAACAAATTTCCCCCTAAACTGAGGCCAGGCAATAACTAATGATGAGAAAAGTATTATTTCTATGAATACAAAGAGTCATACAGGGTGAAGCATACAGCACATATACTGTCTAGAACAACTAAATCAATCAATCTTACTGACTGAAAAATACATTTATTGTGCATTATATAATAGGCCATTAACCTAAAATGATTTTAAAAAAACACACTGAAAAGTTAAAAATAAAGCTAAAAACTGAAATTAAAATACATTTCTCTCTGAAACTAATTTAAAGATACAAATCTTCTCTCCAGGATTTCCTCAGTGATAAAAATAAAAGTGTCTCTACCTGCAGATTTGGTTTAATTTGACATGTAAAAACATAGAGAATAAAATTCTTGAATTATTACTGTAAATGTACATAATGTATGTATCTTGTAAGACCCCTCACTAGAACCCACTATCTACAGCTTTACAAGGAAGTCCACACACACAGTTTCCTATTAACGTGACTTATAATACAAAGGACAGAAAAACAAACGTTGGTTCAAAAGAGTGTTTGTGAACATCTACTGATAATGCAACTCAGCAATGAAGACAGGCGTAGACAAGCTTGTATACATACAGGATCAATGTACTTCAATAATTTAAGTATGGTTGCCTCATAAAAGATGAATAAAACATCAGGGCAGAGAAGTCTTTGATTAGTGTGGTCACTACGACTCCAGGACAGGCACAGATGAACATTTGATGAAGATCAGATCATCCTCCTCTTCCCCCACTCTGCAGCAGCATAGTAAAAGAAAGCCAGCGTCTCTAGGCCAGTAAACAGTACACTTTTACATTTCTTCTACCTCCTGACACGTTGACACCTCTCTCACACCCCCACCATGAATTATATATCATCTGTGCAAACGGCAAGAGTCCAATTCTTACTTGAAATGTTGGGGCAAGTTGTCTAGCAAGCGCTGAGCCCCTGACAGGACCAGGCTCTTTTCCTTTGCAACTTCACAATGACAAAATGTTGAGGCCTATTTAAAGATGGAATAAAAGGGAACAAAGACGGAGAAAACAAAAGGGGGGTAAAATGAGATTTCTGTCAAGAAATTATCGAAAGCAGGCGAAGATCAAAGACGATTGGAGAATTTCCTCCAGCACCAACCATTACGCCGAGGAACAAGAGGTACAACAAAAAATATGAGGCAAAAGAAAACAAATACAGAGGGAATATGGAAGAAGCCCCATGTGGCCTTATTATAAGAGCTACACCGCAGGTACTATATTCTTTAACAGCAGTGCTTTATAAATTCTGTCATCTTGTTAAGACTGTCAGGACCACTGACCCTCCCTTCCCCTCTAACTGGGCAACTGGCATTTTGAAGCTCATTCTTTTAACTACAGCTGTCTGATTGCTTTGGTTGAGCACATAATCCAAACGGCTTGTCTCAGCTAATTGTTTGCGCTCCTTCCTCCAGCAGACACAGGGCCGAGGATGAGAGTGGGAGCTCCACTTCTGATGGAGAGAGGGCAAAAGGGTGCCGGGATCCTATAGTGCTCATTATATCTCCCACTGTCTCTTTGTTGTGTTTCATATTCACTAGTTCGCCGACTGTGAAGCAAGCAGCGCTACCACTTAGTCATCACGCCCGAGGGGTGTGAGAGCAAGGGTCCCACTTTCACTGCTGTCACAACTCGCCTATGTTAATGTTTATAATGAGGAATGAGCCAGATCATAGAGGAGAGTCATGCAGCTAAATGACCAGATACAAGCTGAACTGTGGCATTTTGTGCTCCATTTAAACATTTAACAACAATCATTTGGGACTATGAAACACCAGCACTGACAAGTCTAAGGCCTCCAACCTCAGCGCTTTGAAGAACTATCTGCCATCTCTCTTTCAGAGCTTTTTTTGCTTAGGTGCCACAGTAGAAATCAACTGTTATCTTTGACTGTCCCGGCCCCGGCTTCTGAAGTACTGGAGGACGAAGCGAGACTGATTGTCAGAGGTCGAAAGGCTAGGTCAAAGCCAGCTCATTCGTCAGACAAAATGCTATTTTTGTTTCCTGTGCGGTTGAGGAGTGAAGAGGGTGGGGGGCAGCCTGCTCTCTCATTACCACTGCTATCTCAGTAGTCCCTGCCAACCCCCCTATTACGGCACTTTTCTCTCTGGGGCTGATTCGAGCTCAACTCCTTGTTTTCCTCTCAATGCACAACACCTGCGTTTACAACTATTCCCCATGAGTTATCTTATATATCGTTTGTCTGTGTGCATGTTTGTGTACAAGTGTAGTCAGGGTAGAAAGCAATTTTTTACACATCTGCCACATTGATAAGGTGAATTATGGGGAACATGCGGGACATTTATGAATGAAAAACTGCCGCAATACACAGCAACATATGTATGAAATGTGTGTTTTGGTACAAGCTGCAGTTACACAGTACATAACATACCTAACTCATGTCAAACTAACCGCCGCTGTAAATTTATTGGGTTAAAAGAAATACAAAAACATATATATATAGGATAGGATATGAATAGGTGTACACCATATTAACAAAAGGCCCAGCCAAGGCCAACATGAAGAAAGACTGCAGTATCAACAGTATTCACTTCTACACAAAAGGACTTTGACTGTCTTTCACTCCATCAAACTGTGTGGAGACAGTATAAAGACAGCAGAAAGTACAATCTGAAGAAGGTGGAGATCTCATCTCATGTCGAAGGAATTTTCTGGGCATCAAAAACTTTAAAACCGAACTCCGTACTGAGTTAATAAGAATGAATAAAAGATGGATACGTGAATTATATGCTTTTCCTAAAGATGCGGTTATTGCTTTAGAAGTAGTTCAAATAATGTATTCGACTCAGATTATCCCTAACTGTTTCTGTACCATCTGAATGCTGTGAATTAAGAGTTAATCAGAAGCTGCAGAGGAGTTAATGAAACTGTCTAATGTGACCCACCCTGTATTTTTAGGAACTGCTGCAGTCTAAACACAGCTGCCATTCGCTAACAAGAGAGGTGACAGGGGACAAACAAGCTCCCCATTACTGCTCTGCCTCACGTTCCACTATGGGAGTCCATAAACCACTGTCTCAATTGCCTTTTCAGTGAGTCACACTGATAATTACTCCACTGGAGGTAAGGAGATTTAGACTATGAGATCTGGTAATTACAAAGGTGGTCAAAGGAAGGTCATTTTTACTCTGTGGATTAGATCGAAGCACTTGTACACTGATGAAGTGGATTAACATCACTGTTCCTGCACTCACTCCTTTAGTTCCCTGTTAACTTTTATCACTGTTGGTCACTTGGTGTCACATTTGTAACACTCGTAACAAAACATTAATTATTTTCTTTAATGATCAATCTGCTAACTGTAGTTTTTCAATAAATAGTTTAGTCCATAAACTGTAAAGAATGAAAATAAAAAACAGTGTTGGGAATTTAACATAACTTTGGAAATTCGATCCATAGATGACAATAAACCATGTAACAAAATTTCACATGAAACTTCAAATCAGATGATTGGCTTATTAACAGGGGTGGAAGAAGAATTATTAGCAATATTGCAAAATAAATACTCCATTACAAGTAAAAGTCTTGCATTGAAAACGTCACTTAAGTAAAAAGGTATTATTACCAAAATGTACTTAAAGTATCAAAAGTAAAGGAACTCATAATCTT